AGCATGGTGCGCCTGTACGGCAAGCCGTCCTTCGACACCGCACGCCGCTTCTACAACTCCCTCGGACGCGACGGCGCCATGTGGGGCAGCGTGCCTAGGGACACACGACGCAGCCAGCCGGCGCAGCCACAACGGAGCGAGAAACGACCAGCCAAGGGACGCCAGAAGCAGCTGGCAGACGAAGATCCACAGCCGGCAAAGACGAGAAAGACGGACAAGGCCGGAGGGCACCGGTCACGCAAGCGGAAGAAGCCAGACGACGATGACGAGTTCATCCCCTGAACTCGAGCTGGGAGGGAAGGGAGAGACGGTCCGCCGGACGCGTGCCGTTAGATCTATAAATGACTGAGTCTCCTTCGGGGTCGCAGTTAAACACATGAAATTCCCCTCCGTCGGGCTGGGGGAACTCACTACACTTTCGCCGCGTTCGCGAAATGCATGTGTCAGATCGCGGAAGTGGGGGGATTTGGGCAGCGTCACGTTGCGTTTCCGCGTCTGGTGTGTTGGTGAGAGTGCCGGTGATGGGAGAGGGATGACGAGAGAACGTTGGGGTTAGATGTTGTTGACGGTAACGATCGCACCACACGTATGGTCCGTACAAAACCAAACAGATACGCCTGCGCACCACACCACACATCCACACCACACACCGCACACCACACACACAACCAAACCAACCGTCCACACCCATGTACCCCGATATGTGTGTGTGTGATGGGTGAGGTGTGCATGTATGACGTACCCTATGTGAGCAGGGGGCCACACGCAGCCCACGTGGGGGTTGGCCCAACTCAAGTGACACGACACCCCTCTGACGTCACACCACACCACAACACAACACAGAGACATGAGCAGACAGTCAGGGTGCGTGTGGTGCACGAGTAAGTGTGTTAGGTAGGTGGGAATCCGATGACTGGTGTGGTGTGTACCAGTTATCAAGTGGTTGGTCTGTGCTCCATCGCGGGACGCCACAGACAGCACTCGACACACGGGTTGGTTAGTCTGCATACACCAGCATGGAGGCAGCGAATACACGCCAAAACCGATACAGCAGTGGTAGCTGGGACACATACCAGTCTATATGGTAGTGCATGTCCTCCTCAAGAGGCCACCAATCGACAGGGTTGACGTCAACACTGATGCGCTGAAAACACACGAATGGAGCATGACACGGACAGATCTCCCCAGTCAGAGAGTAGGTGGTGATGGCATGTGTCCTCCCCCACCGCGCTAGGTAGGCCACAGTGCCTTGGTTTGGTGTGAGAGTGTAGATGGACACAGCACTCTGGAAAACCACACAACCAAGCATGGCAAGGGTGCGGGAGTGATGATTGTGTACTCATGTTCACATACCGTGTTGGATGTGCAGGTCCTCGCAACGATATCCTCTCACGGGTGTGGCCTCTTACCTCTCGTGGTTGACGTGAGGTAGAGTGCACACATTCCGTAAAGGTCACCGCACGGGGCCCCGCAATCCATTCATGTGTTGAGTTGGCGAGCTTTGTGTGCGTTGTTTTGTGTGACCGTTGCCCAACGCTCTGCGATGCTGCCTGGCTTTTCTTTGCTGTTCTTCCTCTCGCCCCTCGCTGCCTCTGCTTGCGCAGTTCTTTGCTGATGAGCCACTGATGAGAGAGGACGTGCCTGTCGCCGCACAGTAGCGTACGAGTAGAGCAGTGCTGCTGAAGCGGAGGGAGATGTGCCTGCCATCTCCACCCTGGCGCTGGGAGACGATAGCGTGCCCGTCACCAGCAGGGTTTTCCCGGTTGTAAGCCCGGACTCTGTCTGTTCTTTGCCGTGCTCTTGATGATGTGGACTCTGACGCGGACCTCTGTGTGATGCTGTTGGCGTGAGGGCGAAATTAAGGCG